TCATCATCATCATCACCAGCAGCATCGTCATCATCATCATCAGCATCATCGTCATCATCATCAGCATCATCATCATCATCATCATCACCATCATCATCATCATCATCATCATCATCATCATCATCATCATCATCATCATCAGCATCCTCATCATCAGCATCATCATCGTCAGCATCATCATCATCATCATCATCATCATCATCAGCATCATCATCATCATCATCATCATCGTCATCATCATCATCAGCATCAGCACTATCATCATCATCATCAGCAGCATCATCATCATCATCCTCGTCACCAGCATCATCATCATCCTCTTCTGCATCCTCCTCTTCGTTCTCCTCCTCCTCATCATCATAATCATCCTCCTTATCCTCTTTCTCCTCCTCCTCATCCTCATCCCTCCTCCTACTTCTCCTCCTCATCTTCCTCCTCCTCCTCCGTTGCGTCCTCATAGTCATCCGCCTCCTCCTCCGCCTCGCTTCTCGCTCCTCGCGCCTGGCGCCAAATTCCTCGCTCCTCGTTCCTCGCTCCTCCTTCCTCGCTCCTCCTCCTCCTCCTCCTCCTCCGCCTCCTCCGCCTCGCTTCTCGCTCCTCGCGCCCAGCGCCAAAATTCTCTCCTCGTTCCTACTCTTTCGCTCCTCCTCTCCTTCCTCCTCCTCCTCCTCCTCCTCCTCTTCCTCATCCTCCTCATCCTCCTCCTCCTCCTCCTCCTCCTCCTCCTCTTCCTCCTCCTCCCGCCGCGACTCCGCCGCCCTTCCCTCGTCTTCTCCTCCATTATCTCGCCCCTCCTCCTCCTCTCCTCCTCCTCCTCCTACCCCAGCCTCCTCCTCCTCCTCCTCCTCCTCCTTCCTCCTGCTCCTCCTCTCTCCTCCTCCTCCTCCTCCTCATCCTCTGAGTCTGCATCCTCCTCCTCCTCCTCCTCCTCTCCCTCCTCCTCCTCTTCCTCCTCCTCCTCCTCATCCTCTCCTCCTCCTCCCCTCCTCCTCCTCCTCCCCTCTTTTCTCCTACCTCCTCCTCCTCATCATCATCATCATCATCATCATCATCATCATCAACATCATCATCATCATCATCATCATCATCATCATCATCATCATCAGCAGCATCAGCATCATCATCATCATCATCATCATCATCATCATCATCATCAGCATCAGCATCATCATCAGCAGCAAGAGCATCCTCATCATCATCATCATCATCAGCAGCAGCATCATCATCACCAGCACCATCATCATCCTCATCCTCATCATCATCAGCATCAGCATCATCAGCAGCACCATCATCATCATCATCACCATCATCCTACTCTTCGTCATCCTCATATTCCTCCTACTCCTCCTCCGCAGCACCATCATCCTGCTCACAAACATCAGAAGCAGCACAATCATCATCAGCAGCAGCATCACCATAATCATCATCAGCGTCAACGTCATCATCATCATCATCAGCAGCAGCAGCATCTTCATCAGCATCATCATCATCATCATCATCATCATCATCATCATCATCAAAGTCGCCATCAGCATCATAATCGTCATAACCATCGCCAACATCATCATCAGCAGCAGCATCATCATGCTCATCAGCATCATCAGCATCATCAGCATCCTCATCGTCATCAGCATCAGCGTCATCATCATTAGCAGCATCATCATCATCATCAGCATAGTCGTCATCAGCAGCCGCAGCATCCTCATCATCATCATCATCATCATCATCATCAGCAGCAGCATCATCATCATCAGCACCATCATCATCCTAATCCTCATCATCATCAGCATCAGCATCATGAGCAACAGCATCATCATCATCATCATCATCATCATCATCATCATCACCATCATCCTACTCTTCGTCCTCCTCATAGTCCTCCTACTCCTCCTCCGCAGCACCATCATCCTGCTCACAAACATCAGAAGCAGCACAATCATCATCAGCAGCAGCATCACCATAATCATCATCAGCGTCAACGTCATCATCATCATCATCATCATCATCAGCATCAGCATCAGCATCTTCATCATCATCATCATCAAAGTCGCCATCAGCATCATAATCATCCTAACCATCGCCAACATCATCATCAACAGCAGCATCATTATGCTCATCAGCATCATCAGCATCAGCAGCATCCTCATCGTCATCAGCATCAGCGTCATCATCATTAGCAGCAGCATCATCATCGGCACCATAATCATCGTCATCATCATGACCACCAACAACAGCATCATCATCATAATCATCAGCAGCAGCATCCTCATCATCATCATTGTCAGCAGAAGCATCAGCATCAGAATCCTCATCATCATCATCATCATCAGCAGCATCATCATCATCGGTTGCATCAGCATCAGAATCCCCCTCATCATCATTGTCAGCAGCAGCATCAGCATCAGAAGCATCATCATCATCATCATCAGCAGCATCATCATCATCATCGGTTGCATCATCATCGTCATCATCATGACCACAAGCAACAGCATCATAATCATAAACATCAGCAGCGGCATCCTCATCATCATCATCATCATCATCATCATCATCATCACCATCGGTTGCATCAGCATCGTCGTCATCAGCATCATCATCATCAGCACCATCATCAGTAGAAGCGTCATCGTCATTGTCAGCAGCAGCAGCTGCACCACCAGCATCACCATCATCATCATCAGCAGCATCATCATCATGATCAGCATCAGCATCATCATCATCAGCATCAACCGCATCAGCATCGTCATCATCATCAACATCATCAGGGTCAGCATCATCCATATCATCATCACCAGCATCAGCATCGTCATCATCCTCAGCAGCAGCAGCAGCATCATCCTCAGCAGCATCATCATCAGCATCATCATCAGCAGCAGCATCAGCATCATCATCAACAACAGCAGCAGCTGCATCATCAGCATCAGTCTCATCAGCATCGGCATTATCATCATCAGCAGTATCAGCATCA